TGTCCGCGAGAGCCTGGCTTCTGCCAGCGACCCTTGAGGACGGGCTTGGGGAAGGACCGTCTGCGGAGTCTTTCCGCGGGACAGTCGCGCTTGAAGTGGCCCATCTTCCCACAGCCGAAGCAGCGGATGTCACGCTGTTCGGCGGATCCGAGTTCCATGGGAACTGGTCCGTTGGGGCTTGTTCGACCGGGAGCCGACAAGGAGCTCCCAGGCCACGCTGAGGTCGGCGTACGCGCCTGGCGATGACTGTACTCTTCTTGAAAAGCCACTTGAATCGACTCTTCAAGGGTGCTTGCCTGCACCCGGAACAGCTGAGTGCGTGCGGGGCCCACTCGAAGGCCGTCCATGAACACAGTCATCTTGATGTGTTCATTGAGTGGGTTTCCCACTAGGGACGCCGTGAGCTCCCGTATCTCTTGCACATACTCGTGCTGCTCACGCCTCCCATGTTTACACGAGAGGAAGCGCGAACGCTGGCGGTACTCGTAGTTCGCCGGGAGGAACGCGCCTCGGAGCTGTTCGCACAGCTGAGCCCAGGATGTGAAACATCCAGGGGATGTTGCTTCCCGAGTGTACAATCAACTCTTAGCACGACCGCTAAGGTTGGAGAGTGCAAAAGCAACACGCAGTTGCTCGGTCGAGATAAGAGCTGCGTCCATCGCGAGCTCTACTTCTCGGACCCAGAAGTGAAGGTTCTCGCCTTCCTTCCCTTCATACGGCTTAACCTTCAGCCGTATTGGCTTCGGGTGAGGCGGATTTGCTTCCGCCGCCGGAGCGTGCAGGTTCTCCCGCACATGCGCGATGAGGCCCTGCTCGTACGCGTCGAACGCATTGACGCGCTCGAGCTGCTCGGCCGGTGTTGACACCACCAGGCTCTGCAGGGCCTCCATCCCGAAGATGCCTGCCATCTTCCGAACCGACACGAACTGAGAGTCGTTCATATGGGAGAAGTCGTTCCTGTCCATGGCAACGAACTTCGGAGAGGTTCAGGTAATCTACCCGCGGTGGCGTGGATTGACTACGAGTGCTACCAAGTGTGCCGGGGTCACACAGCACCTTGCGCTAGAGGAAGTTATCTTCCGAGAGTATACAAACTCTCAGTGAACGGCAGTTCACAGGCCCCCTCTTTATTCAAAAGAGAGCGAAGTGACCTAATTAAGGTAGACTGTAAACTGAGTATATTTATAGGTAGGTTAAGTTTGGGTTTAATACAAACTATTAGTTACCTATAGGAATGCAATGTCATTTAACCAATGGTTGGCTTTGAACGACCTTAGTACCTTGTTCCAAATATCCCGGAGTATGAAGTGTCACACTTCATGTAACCAGGGTACACTTAGGGCTACGTACCCCGTTACAGGTGTGAAGTAACTTAAGTGACAAAGAAATTTTTAATTTTTATTTTCAAAAATTGACTTTAGAGCAATGGCGATTTAGTGCAGAGCTAACTGGTGGTCGGCATCAAAACCTCTTCTTCTGGCATCACGCCAACAGAACCAAAGCATGGCCTCGCGGCCCGGACACGCGTTCTCGACGCACACAAGGCTGGGCAGGACTGGGCCCTTAGTAGCCGATTGCAACGGAATTCCAGCTACAACGATTCGGACTATCGTCGAGCGAGGAACCCCGGACATCAAGAAGAGAGGCGGCGCGCGGGTGACATGCACTAAGTGCACGACGTGTACCGCGACCACTTCGCTGGCAAGACGGTTGTCATTGTCTTAGACAACGCTCCTGCTCATAGCCAGACTGAGAATCTGATTACTGAGCAGGAGGACTTGGAGCTGTTGCGGTTGGCGCCATACTCCCCCATGTGTAACCCGATTGAGGGTATGTTTTACAGACAATTATAGCGTGCACATGTACTAACATTTGTGTCTATTTTACTGTGCGGCAGGGTGTTTTAGTGTATTAAAAGCACGCATTAAGGCTTATCTTGCCTTAAGTCATGACGAAATATTTCTTGCTCCCCACGAAGAGAAAACAGAGCGCCGGATGCAGCTGCTTGAAAACGCTGCAGATCATAGCTTGCCATGTATGGATCTGCGCTTGGTTAACAAGATGGCGCGCCACTGTGCGCTGTCAGTGGCAGCAATTCGTAGCGAACCTATGGAGTACGGCACGTAAAGTTTTGCACTACACTAAATCAACTTTGCATGACAGGCTTTTTCTAAAAAAAAAAATTTCAAAAATTAAAAAAAATAATTACGGGACGTTCCACTTTGCTTTACATTGTCACCGATTTGGACTCGCAAAGGTGTAGAACCCTGAAGTGCATATTAAGATTAAATGGTGTGTTGACATTGCATCTGTCGCTTTGGCACTTTACGAACGTATTTACTGTGTTTCTGAGTGAGCGCATTTGCAGTCAAATGTTTTTTTTGCTCGGATAGTTGCAAGCTAGCCCTGTTGATGTGCATTGGTGTTCATTCCGCCCGTGAATGTGAAAGGCACCTTGGCAAAGTTCTGCATGTTTTTCTTCCAGTTCTCCGTCATGTCGCTCATCTTGCCCTCCATTTCCGCGATCTTACCCGTGGGCTTGCGCTGCATCCCCAATGTGTCGAGATACGCCGCCAGCTCACTCTTCTTGAGCCCTTTCACAGCCATAATATTCTGAAAATCCTCCGCAGAACCCTCAGGCCACATGATCTTGAAGCTCTCGACGAGCATTTCGTTCGGAGTGCCAATGAGCTTCAGCACGTTTTCCACCGTCGCCATCTCGTTCGAGACGAACTTGGTGTAACGCGACGGGATCGTCGCTGAGCTCGTTGAGGTGGAAGAGGATTGGAAGCCGTCGTTGTTCAGCACTGGCAGTTGAAGGAACAACGTCTTGAGAGCGTACACGTCAAGAAGAAGTTGCTGCGTTGCTACCTGGTTCATCCTTCGGCACTTGAACACGGCCTGCAAGATCTTGGGCACGAAGGACGCCGCGAACTTATCGCAAAAGTTGGTAAAGTACAGTCCAGACAGCATTTGGCGCAACACCGGCACAAACGTCTGCAGCTTCTCGCCCATTTGCGTAACGTACAAACTCTCGTCGCCCACGGCTTCCCATGTCTGCCAGTTGGCCTTGTGGAGTGCGTTCAAATCGTCATCCAGCGACGTCTCCAATCCAGCAACGATACACTTCATAGCTGCGGCGCCCACGTCGTGGAACGTATCGATCTCTTGTGATAACTCAATGGCTTCACTGAACGCCTTGTCAATCTTCGCTCGAATTACTTCCTCCAGAGATGGCAGCGTCTCAGCGCAGTACTCGGCCGTGTTGATTACGAAACATAGTTCCTCTTCCTGTTTATCGCTCAATTTGACCTTGTTGCTCGCACCACTGCTTGAAGAATCCAGACCGCCTGATGGCCCAGTCGAGGCAGCAGGGAGTTTCGCGAGAAGCCGTTGGGAGTAGAGCTGAAAGCAGTGTTTGAACTCGTTCTGGAGGTCAAAGAACGTCTGGCCGTTTGTCAGGGCCGTACATCGTTTAATTGAATTGCGAATATAGGCAAACATGTTCACGGAGCTCGAGAACACTGGCAGCTGGCCGTTCCGATCCACCAACTCGGCGCTCATCACCTCGTTGATCATCTGCTCCATGTTCTTACGCTCCAGTGCTACATACGCCGTCATGAACGGGTCGAATGAACGAGATATCATTCCCCGAATAGTCGGCAAGCCCTGGTTATTGTCGTCCGTGAGCTCACCGTTCTTCTCCATTTCTTCTTCTAGCGCCTTACGCTCCGCCTCACGCTTCTTGCGACGATGTTTTCTCTTGATTCCTTCAGCGGAATGTGGGTCAATGGCATCGCCGTTCTCGTCCAGTTCCACTTCCTGAAGCTCTTCTCCATCGGCTATCCCTTCGAAGCGCTGTGCTGCGTCACGTTCAAACATGAGCGTTCGTTGTAGAGACTTCAGCAGCAAAGTCACGTCCATCTCGTCCGGAGTGTGCGCTCCTATTTGTGCAAGTAAATGGGTCCGCGTTCGTTCACAGAACCGAATGCACATCCGTCGAGCCATTCGCCAATGCTTTGGGAAAATAGCGTTCAAGCGATCGTCGATGGCAGCGAGGAGATTGTAGAACCACGTGTATCTCGTTTCAGCCTGGTGCAACCCAGCGCACTCTCCCCCGTCCCCGTAAAGTCTCTCGTAGGACATCAACTGTTCGTCACAAAATAAATGGACCAGTTTCTCTCTGGTTGCTTTGCCCAAGGCATCGACAGCTGCACACGCAGCCGCGAGGTTGGCAAAGACAGCTTGTCGTTCTTCTTCGGATGGAAAATTGTCCTCCAACGACTCCATGGGGCCAATAGACCGAAAGTCGGCAAAGATCTGTCCACCAAGTTCTTCCTGCAATGTGCGCACAGTTTTGTGCAGTTCGACGATCTTACTGACGTTTGTGTAGCCGTCGAAGTGCGTGAAGAGTTGGTTGACAGCTTCGAGCAAAGATGCGGCCTCGCGATAATTACGTTGCGAGGACATAAACTCTAGCTGATCAACGGCATTAACCAGCATGTGCAGCCGCTTTAGCGCCGTGAGCGTGGTCTGCAGATGGCGCTTAGCATAGTCGAGCTGCTTGATGTCGCGACAGATTTCCTGCACCATGACCTCGGACTGCTCTGCCTTACCTCGGATATCGTGGATCTTGTGGAAAAGCTGCTGACTCGACGTTTTCGCTTCCTTCAGACCAACAAGCGCCTGATGTGCCGCTAAACTCTGGTCTTGTGACGCCTGAGACAGCGAGTCGTCGAGCTCCTTCATACGCCCGCGGAGACGGCTCACAAAATCACCAATCTCCCCCAGACTCTGCTCGTCCGGAAAGTTTCGGTTGATGAACTCGCGCGCATCGAACTCAGGTCGGTCCAACACGTCCTCCGAGGGCAAAACCTGTACATGAGACGTTGGTGAGACCTGGCAGCCAGCTTGAAACAGGACTGCAACACGAGGAAGATACTTTGGCTAGCGTGTCCTCCACGTTCTGAGGGAGCTTCAATGCGCTTCCATCGCCGTCGCTGTACTCGCTGGCTCTGGCCGACGACGAGCCACGACGCAGTAATCGATCCATTTTCGACTCTTTTGAAGCTCGAGGATGACATATGATGGGATATTTGATTTATGTTAGAAGATAGGACTCTCGAAATATTGTAACTTACAAAGATTTACAGAATCTTCGTATAAAAGAGTAGAAAGTAATAAAAATAAGAACACCCCGTAAAAATTGCAGTCGATTTCTTACAATCTGGATTCAGCTTGTGATACCGGTAGCAAGGGGGGTATCACAGCCGAGAAGATTGTCTGAACTGCTGTTTATTTATTTCGCAAATTTTATTCTGTGCGGGGAAGCTTTCGGCTGATAATCCTCTTTTCTCAAATCGAGAAGCTTCGTTTCAGTATGCCTACATCAACCTGAGAACAAGGGTGGCCTTATCCCTTCCCCTCGGTAAGATCTATGAGCGCCTCCTTTGCTCATTTTCCATTTTGAGCGGAAACACTCAAGCACTCTCATAAACCGAGGCAACTATGCAGATTTTCGTGAAGACTTTGACCGGCAAGACGATCACGCTGGACGTGGAGCCTTCGGACTCGATCGACAACGTCAAGCAAAAAATTCAGGACAAGGAAGGCATCCCTCCTGACCAGCAGCGTCTGATCTTCGCTGGTAAGCAGCTGGAGGACGGCCGCACGCTGAGCGACTACAACATCCAGAAGGAGTCTACGCTTCACCTGGTGCTTCGCCTGCGTGGTGGCATGCAGATCTTTGTGAAGACTTTGACCGGCAAGACGATCACGCTGGACGTGGAGCCTTCGGACTCGATCGACAACGTCAAGCAAAAAATTCAGGATAAGGAAGGCATCCCTCCTGACCAACAGCGTCTGATCTTCGCTGGCAAGCAGCTGGAGGACGGCCGTACGCTGAGCGACTACAACATCCAGAAGGAATCAACGCTTCATCTGGTGCTTCGCCTGCGTGGTGGCATGCAGATTTTTGTGAAGACTTTGACCGGCAAGACGATCACGCTGGACGTGGAGCCTTCAGACTCGATCGACAACGTCAAGCAAAAAATTCAGGACAAGGAAGGCATCCCTCCTGACCAACAGCGTCTGATCTTCGCTGGTAAGCAGCTGGAGGACGGCCGTACGCTGAGCGACTACAACATCCAGAAGGAGTCAACGCTTCATCTGGTGCTTCGCCTGCGTGGTGGCATGCAGATCTTTGTGAAGACTTTAACTGGCAAGACGATCACGCTGGACGTGGAGCCTTCAGACTCGATCGACAACGTCAAGCAAAAAATTCAGGACAAGGAAGGCATCCCTCCTGACCAGCAGCGTCTGATCTTCGCTGGTAAGCAGCTGGAGGACGGCCGCACGCTGAGCGACTACAACATCCAGAAGGAGTCAACGCTTCACCTGGTGCTTCGCCTGCGTGGCGGTAACTAAATTGGTTCAACCGTAAGGTCGTTTTTCTTGCCTCGGACCAGTTTGTTTCGCAACTTAATGCTACTTTAAAGAAGTTTTAGTAGTATGAAGTGCAATCGATTACTCAATTAAAATGTTTCGACTTCAGAGCTGAATACTACTGGTAGTTATATCAATTTTGTGAACATCGGCAATCCTACGATGGATTAAAAACTTCTATTATACATGGTCTACAGTAGTACAGTACGACACTGTAGTCGCTGGCATTGCGGTTTTAGTTGTATTTAAAGCTGTCGTAATGGCAGGCTGATCAGTCGGCCATATGCCACGAAAAGTTCGTACAAGTAGCTGGTAGAACACATGAAGTCTGAGGCGGAGCTAAGCGACAAGGAGTGGCGACAAATGCGGCGACAAATGTCGAAGCTCGACTTCGAGCCGGTACCCGAGACCCCAGCCTTGCTTTCAAGATCTCTCTTTGGCGAGAGCGGCCAGGAGCTAGCGTCGATCTACGAGGAAAAACCTGAGATGATCCGCGAAAGCGCTCCGGCTTGTCACTGTCAAAGCTCGCCCAAGAACCGCAGCAGGTAAGGAGAACCTCCCTCATATGCTGTATGCTTCTTTACTGATATCAAGAATATTTCACCAGCACAATCTCAACGAGTGGCAGTAGTTTTAATGAAATGAAGCAAACGCTATCCGAGATGACTGTGAATGAACACAGTGCTGAATTGCCTTCAACCTCAGTGGCAGTATCTCCTAAGATTACGAAGCGTTATCATCCGCAAGAACAGAAGCGACCACCTGAAAGCACGTTCGAGCTTGATGACTCTGAACTTGCAGCGCTGGATGCACAGATGGCAGCAGCTCAAGACGCCACTCGTCGATTGGTTATGGTAAGATCATTCCTTCATTCGGTAAGATTTTGTGAGTCTGACTTTGGTGGTCATTTCCAGGGTGCTTTTCTAAATCTCAAGGGCAAGGAAAAGCAAAGACTGAAGCGCTGGAGCGCATGAAGCTGTCTGCTGCTCACGCAAGCGATATCAAAATCCTTCAAGTAGTTTCTTCTGCTGTCTTCGTCGGAGAAGACGTGGCTTATAATGTATGTGTGTTTTGTGTTCGTGTAGATCACGGTCGAGGAATTGAAAGTGAAAGTGGCAAAAGCTGAGGAACAGCGAGATCAGAGCAACAAGCTGCTGGATCGCTTTTCGGAGTTTACTGTCAAGCAATTGCGCCTCAACGTAAGTTCTGAGGGTTTCTTTTCTTATCTTTACTTAAATGATTGCATATGTGAAGCAAGCACACAGTGTGGAGCGTTCAGTAGCAGCATGCTTTCATGCTTGGAATGAAATGGCTCGACAAAGGACAGCAAAATATACTGCGCTTCGTCATGTCCTTGCTCAAGCGTGTAAGCGTCAGCAGCTTGCAAGCTTTCGATTTTGGAAAGAAAGCGCACAGATGTTCCTACTTCAAAGGCAGCTTCAAGATCAACGAGATCGGTTCGAGAATCGAATTCTCGAGATGGCGAAGGAATACCAGCTCCAAATCCAACAGGTATGTTTTGCTCGTGGCTGTTTGTATCATTGCGAAACAAAAGGTGACGCAATTTTTGGGGGTGCTAGCTTCAACATGATATCGATGAAGCGAAATGCCAAGTAGAAGAATCGCAAAAGTGCCGGCGAAAGCTAGAAGAAGATCTTCGTCTAGTGTTTCTGCGAGGCGTGTCAGCGATGAATATTGAAGCCTTAAATGTCTTCGGTACAAGCCACAAACAACTTCGCAAGTTGGGCGAACAAGAAAGATCGGTTCTACCGGCGCGTCAGAAGGAGTCAAACAGCAATCAAATCATTGAATCGGTCAAAACGAACGCTGTTTCGTCCAGGGAGCTCACTGTTCCGGTAGTTATTGCGTCATCCAAAGAGCTTTTATCGCCAGAAACAAGCGCGTCCGACCCTGTCCCGGTTGAAGACTCAAACACGGCGTGCTCCTCGCCATCTCACTCAAGAGCATCAACAATGCGTTCGATCTCCACGCAAGCCCCAGCAAGTCTCAATCGACCTACCAGCGGATGTACTCATCCTACCGATACTACTGGACTACGCAGCGCCGAGATGATCCAGCAGCATGAGCTCTCTCCTTCGATGTGGATCCACTCGGCTGGTCGTTCTGCGTCCTCAACTTTCCGTCCATCATCAGCTCCATTGCCAACGAAGAAGAGATCGAGCACTCTGCTGAGTGCCAAAACGCAAGTGGAAATGCAGTATATGCGCAGTACAATTGCTGCTTCGGCAGCGAGAGCGACTCGACCCATATCAGCGAGCCGGTCGCCTACTTCCACAACATGTACTGCTTGGGCGCGTAGGTCGTAACAGTAAGAACAGGGTATAATAAAGTCGTTCGTTTCAAAAAGCGTATTCTTAACTCCAAATTAGTTTGTTGGGGCTGTCCAGATCACCGTCGTGTGTAATGATGAGTCGACAGCAAATCTACTCCTCTCCACATCTTGACCTTGACGGGGAAATAGTGGAAGATGGCAGACGCTTTAGCTACGACAACGATGGCGAAGAAGACGGGGTATGAACTTGCATAAGTGAGGGAGGGGGGGGGAGGACCCCAACTATTGCTCACATGCTTTGTGATTTCTTTTAGATCGACTTGGAAGGCTACGAAGAATACTTGGAGCATTTGAAAAGGTAACAAGCAAATAGCATTCGATTCATCAGATATCGCCTGATGATGTTGCTTGATGTGTACAGCAAAACGGCGATTCGTCCTTGCAGTGCCAGAGTAGTCCGGCCAACAACAGAATCGTCCAAATTTTTTACGACCAATGCGGACAATCCTGTTCCTACGAGACCTGCTCGACCATCAAGCGCCCGCCCCCGGATGCGCTCTACACCAAGAAGTTCGTTGGGTGACTTTACACCTAATGGTTCACAGTCTCGCTCCAGTGGAATGAGACGAAAACGCCATAGCGAAAAGGTGGTTCATGCTCGAATTCGAGCCGTGTACAATGATGTTGGGCGATCATCTCTGTCGATGAAGCAAACGACAGCAATAGCAACGCCTTACAGCACCGCATCCGCTCTATGCAGCAAATCGAGGGACTTGGAAGAAGCAGATATACACGACGAGTATTATAGATTACTTGACTCCGAGGGCGAGCTGAAAGCTGCACTTTTTCAAGAACAACAAAAGCGTGTTAAAGCGGTGGCGCATGCTCGCCGCCTGGAAGAGGTGGTAGCCATGAAAGACAAGAAAATCGAGTCTTTGTTGTATGCCAAGGCTGTTGGTGCAGATAGGTCCCTCAGCACAAATAGAAGTGTGAGTCAAAGGGAATTGGCGGAGCGTGATCGCCAGGTCCATGCCATAACGCAGAGGCTGAAGCAGAAGCTTGTCCAACAGTCTCAATTGCTGACTTCTTACGAGGAAGCGATGCAGTCCCTTCGTAGTGGTGTAAAGAGCACAAACCTCATGGAATTGGAGGAGGAGCGAGTTCAATTGTATCAGGAATTGCGTCACCACCAAATACTTTTGGATCAACAGCGTTTTGAAAGGGAAGCTCACGAACAAAAGTTGGCTGCCTTTGCAGACGTGGAGGCAAGAAATAATCTACAAATGGCCAAGCTTCAGCAAGAGAATAGAATGATTACCTATGAAAAGCGCAAACTAGAACAAGAGATTGGATTCTTAAAGTCTCATGTGGAGCAGCTTCAGAGTAACCTTACTCTTGAGCAACGCAAGCGGACATACGATCGAGAATTCAGTGAGAGTGTTGGAAAGCATACAATGTCACCTCCAACACAAAAGGTGATGCTGGCTCAAGCACTCGACGAGATGAAAAAGTTCGTGCGGAGAGAGACACTAGCTTCCATCAAGCGTGAGAAACTAAAGTCATCACGGCCAGCCACTTCCAAGTCGATTGCAGATGCACAATCAACACTGCCAACTGCATTTTCTGCTCCGAAATCCCGAAGTTTTTCAACGGTAACTCCTCGAGATTTGCGACGACCGATAGCATCAACAGCTCCAAACACGGAGTCGGAGCCAAGCAATGGATCTTACAACTCTGAGGGTGCTTTAATCCCTTCGGAAGATCCTACTACAACAACTTTATCAGGGGCTATTGTCACTTCAACCTCAAAAGAAGAAGGTAACCTGGAAGCGCAGCAGCAAACGCATCATAACGGCTTCATCGCTGATGAAACCACGGGAGGATTGGTCGTAGAAGGGTGTCACGAGAGCCACGCCGCTGCAACTTCGAGTGTTGATTTCGCCAACATTAACTCATTTCAGTCGCACTATGCTGGAAAGCATGAATTAAGTTCGGTTGAAGCTGATCCTGAAAAGGACCAACCGTCTGGCGGTGTTCGGTGCGTCGCCGTGGAACGGGTGTATAATAAAACAACAGATGAAGAATTGGACGAGATACAGCAGCAAAAGCTAGCTGCCATTGAGAGTGTTTTAAGGCTGGATACGGACGATGGCTCTGATAGCGAGTTGTTGTCAATTGATATGCTGGACGATGCAAAACACCTCACGAGCGATTGGAAAAAGACTTCTATTGATGAAGCTGCTGATGCAGCACTGATCAATGTTGAGGTGTCAAAAGAAGTTGGGGGTGTGGAGAAAGAAACCGTCGCACAGGAAGAATTGCAAGACGATAGGGGGCCAGTCTATGGATGATCTATACACAGAAGGACTTTCTTGAACACCGACGTTGGACGCCTAGGTTCAGCGGGCGAAGAACGGGCGGAGGAATTAATTACTGGAAGTGTGATGTTCATCTACTTACCCTGTTACTGTTACTCGAAAAAACTAAAACTATGAAAAACTTCGTTATTCGCATCTCGCTACCTTTCTTCAACCCAAAGCAGGGCCTCATGTATCATGGAGCTTGCAGGCTAGATTTCCGATGCGTAGATTTACGGCCCCTCGATTTTCCTCTTGCGCGCACGTACACAGGCTCGAAAAATTCGACATGCTTCTTGCTTTTAGCATCTTCAGTCTTTGGATGACGACCCAGTAGCTTGAGAAAACCACCACTGCTGTGAGGCTCAGCACCATCCTCCGACTGATTTTCCACGAGTTCATTCTTGTTCTTGTCTGCTCGCTCTTTCGCTCGCTGGTGAACCAGTTCCAGGAACATTTCACCGTCGTCTGAATTGAACATTGTGAGTAGTATTCAAACAAAGCAGCGTTGCGAGCTTCGATCTTGTCATCGTCCTTGGCTTCACCGGTTTCTAGATGAACCAGCATCTTATTCTGAGCAGGGAATGGCACGATCCCGATAGGTGGTTCCTGTGTAGTCGGGTACTGATGGTGGTGGTGGCGGTGGTGGTGGATATAGCGCGTATGCTGGTTGTTTGCAGATCCCTCACCGTTAATATTTGCGTCCCCTGTGCTTTTTGACTTCTTTTTAAGGCCAAATGTGTGCCGCACGAGACTCGAGAGTGAGGTGGGTGAGCTCTTCGACGTAGAGGACACCGACGAGCGCGACGTGGATGATGAATTTGATAGGAAACTTTCGCGCCCAGTAAGTAATCCGCTGTGGGGATCCCCGTGTTTCTCCACGTATAATCGCACGAAGTCGCGATGCAGCCGCAGGAGCGCCTGGAACGAGCCCGAGAAGCCCAAACGCGTGTGGCTCTCCCGCGGCAAGCCCACCACGAGTTCCACGTAGTAGCGCACTCGTAGCTTCATTTTCTTCTTGGCGTCGGTCACATTATGTTCCTCCTTATGCGCGGTAACATCTACGCCAACTTTCGGTGCTTTCATGTTGTACGCTTACACTGTGTACTCACTCGCAAGCTTCCACGTTTGCGCCAGAGTTTTAATCAAATTTTTGACCAGTAGGAATCAGGTGGGATAAAAAATGGCATCTGCGACGTGTGAGTTCTGTAGCCATCTTTAATACAGCAAAAAGACTTGGCGGATGCTACAGACCATGACTTCTAAAAGGGTTTGATAAAAAAGCATGGGTATTTCTAAGTTTTTTCCCATGATTTCGTAAAATAAAATACGACAGCTTGGTATAATATGTTCACCAACAGACATGGTCAATCATATTGACAGGAGATCAAGAAAATTAAAGAATGGGAGAGATGATGCTGCGCCGGCTCACTGGTAAATTGCATGAGTGACCTACCTAATGTCATATAACTAATACCAGGATTCTAATGCAAACATGGTAAAATCATGGTTAACATGAAAACATGGCTAAGTAAAACATGCACTATCATGTTTGGCCTTAGGGTCTGTGTCGAGCCAGATACTGTTTTTCTTGCGAGTGCATCACTCTGCTACTGTATCGTTTCCTTTGCTTGCGTCGCTGAATTTTACAATGGTACGCACCAACCCACTCTTCGTATAATCGCTGCCTGGTTCCTTCCAAAGCTGTCGCCAGAAGTATTGCGTATTGGCTGGATTGGTATGAATGTTGATGGAGGCTTCTACGGGTGCAAAGCGAGCAATTCGAGACTCCAAGGAGGCTAGTGAGGAAACGGAACGGCTGCCGCCTGTGGTTAGCGCGGTCAAAGGGAAGGTGGACGAGCCCGCAAGCTCGGAAGAGACGGCTAAAGAAGCAAAAGAACGTGAGTTCGAGCAGAACGTGTGTATGTTGGACTCGACGATTCTGCCGCTCCGACCGCTAGGGCTCCTGAGAAGAAAGTTGGAGCGCTTTCGTTCAGATGGCGCTCTAAACTTCGAAGTCGAGTGTACGAGCTCCTAAAACAGGAGTGGAGCGCCAAGAAGTGGTGCGGACTAGAACGTCTAGAGGGCGTAGAGCGAGCCGATATGGCGGGAGAGATTCCCCCATTACGTGACAATAAGGGCGAATACTTTCTAGAAGTGGTGGCTCTGCTTGTGTACCTCCTCAAAGTGGGTGGAGTACCGGCATAGGCGTTCCTAAATCGGGCGATGACTTGGGCCCGGAACTATTTTAAGACGGATGTCCCGACCAATCGCCACAAGCTGTGGGACAGGGGAAGGAGGAACTCCGGAATAGTGGGACTGGCTACTGCGACGGTAGATGAAATCTACGGAAAAGGGTGAAGTCCACTTTGCCAATCAGCGACGAGGAGCTCAAATAGAGGAAGAGGCCCCAAAAGGGCATCTCGCGAACGCAATGAGGACGCCGAAGAAGCGAAGGAAGCCGGGGCTGCGCGAAGTGGACGGCGGTAAAGCTGTGGGCAGCAATGAAAGTGTCGTCCCGACGGGCAAGCGCGTCATCTGCAGTGTCGGCGGGATGCAGGCCCTATCAGACGACTTCATCGACTGCTGTCTGTCGGAGATGCTGGCCGACACGGGTCCGGTCGCCAGCCTTGTTGACAAGCGAGGGCTGAAACGATTCGGACGAGCGTCCGAGTCTCTGAGACCTTATTCGGGAAGTTTGGACATCGTTTCAGGGCATGCAATTCGACTGCGCGGCGTCATTGACCTGCTAGACACTTGGAACGCTTCCATTCGTGGTTTGGTTGATGGTCTGTTCGAGGACGCGATGCTAAGAACGGACTCGTTGGAGGCGTTTCGCGCGGTGATCGACCTGGAGGAGCAGACAATGGCGCTAAAAAGAACTGGGGATGTGATCTCTTTGGGCGAAACGAGAATGAAAGAGACGTATGCGGCCATAGTATCGTCGACGGTGCGTCTAGAACCTGGCCGTCAAGCGCTAGTTAGATCAAGTGTCGCGGAACAGTGAAGGACAACTCTGTGGTGCTGGTGGAAGGCGTTCCAGGGGCGGACGAATCTCTGAGATTCGCTAGGACGCTCTGCACAGTGACGGAAGGAACAGTGTTCATGGAGGTGTATAACGCCTATACTGAAAGCAGTTGAGATCCAGTCCGGAGCTTATGTCGCTGCCGTGACGATCGTTCCAAACACGGTGTTCGTGGCACACGTTCCAATCGCCTCGGAATGTCAGCGCTGTATTGAGTACTGAGAGAAACGCCGTTGCCTCCGAGGTTGGAACGCCTGAGGAAGAAATGGCAACCGCCATGAAGGACGACGAGGAAGACAGCTTCGAGGTGGACTTTGAAGACTCGTCGATGGGTGCTGCACAGAGAGGACGTTTTGCAGAAATGCTAAGAGACCTGCGGGATTTGTTTGTCGAAACCTCGAAGAAACCAGGAAGAACAAAATTTCTCAAGCTAGGCATCGACACTGGAGCGCATGCGTCGATCAAACAGCCGCCATACCGCGTGTCGAAGGTTGAAGGAGACTTGACATTGGTCTCGTCAGGCCGTCGACAAGCTCGTGGGCAAGTACGGTCTTGATGATCATGAAACTGACGGATGTATTCGCTTTTTCATTGATTATTGAAAGCTGAATGCTGTCACTGTGAAAGATAGCTACCGGATGCAGTTCATTGGTGACATTGACGACGTCCTCGGTAACGCCTCTCTATTCTCTACCATGGTTTTTGCCTCTGGGTATTTGAACGTTCCAATGGACCCAGACAGCGTGGAGAGAACGGCTTTCACGAGCAAATTTGAGCTCTATGCGTAACTAGACATGCCGTTCGGCTTGTGTAACGCCGTTCCGGGCTATGAATGCCTGATGGAGAACGTTCTCGCCGACCTTAAGTGGAGGACTTTCCACGTGTACCTCGATGACTGCGTAGTCTTTAGTGACGACTTCCCGACGCACCTGATTCGCGTGCGTCAAGTTCTTAAACGCTTTAGAGCCGTTGGGTTCAAATTAAAGATGAAGAAGTGCCATAGGGGGCGCGACCAAGTGGCGTTTCTAGTCCATATTGTCACGCTTACGGCATCATGTCGAACCCCGAAAAGGCGAAGGCTGTGATGAACATCGAGAGGCCTCATGACCTGCATACTGTGAGGGCGTTCCTGGAGCTAACCAGCTATTATAGACGTTACATACCGGGCATGGCGGTCACTGCAGCACCTCCGGAACGCCTGAACTAGAAGGACGTGCTGTTCCAATGAAATGATGATTGTGAGGTGGTGCTTCGTCAATATCAACGAGCTCCAGTGGAACCTCCCACATTGGTGTACCCCGATTTCAAGGCGCGCTATAGGCTGTATGTGGACTCGTCACTCCTGGTGGTAGGAGCGTGTCTCACGCAAGAGGTTGAAAAGCGTGACACATATGCGAGTAAGATGTTGGTGTGGTCCCAACGGAACTAGATCTATAAGACGAGCGGGACGACCGATCTCGAGTGCTGCGGAACTCTCTGGGCGACGCGCCAGTTCCGGGGTTACCTCAGTCACGCTAAATTCGACCTGTACATCTACCACCAGGCACTGACGTGGGTTTTGGAGAAACTACTGGGACTACAAATGCCGAGTTGGTTCGTTGGGCGATGGAGTTATCACAACTGCGGTTCAAGATATACCACAAACCGGGGACATCGATGGGACAAATGGATGATTTGTCGCGGCTGTAATATCGGCCGAACACGCACGTTGTAGATGCTACTTGAATAACAGATCTTTTCAATGAGGATGCCGGTGACCCTGCTGCTCTAGAAAACGCGGAGGCTCAAGCCATAACGCCCCGGTCAGCTGGAACGGTTACCCAGGATGACGGAGCACTGAGTTGGAACGCCCCCCCGTGTTCCAATCTCAGTCGTAGAGAGCCCTGACATAGGCGTTCCTGGCGAGATCTCCAAGAACGTCCAACCAACACTGGCGACAGTTTTGGAAGGAGCCAGGCAAGGATTACACAAAGAGTGGGATGGTGCGCCGCCGATGGGATGTCCTGCGTACCATTGTAAAATTCAGCGACGCAAGCAAAGGAAACGATACAGTAGCAGAGTGATGCACTCGCAAGAAAAACAGTATCTGGCTAGACACAGACTCTAAGGCCAAACATGATATTGCATGTTTTACCTAGCCATGTTTTCATGTTAACCATGATTTTACCATGTTTGCATTAGAATCCTGGTATTACAGTCGTGCATCTAGGGCGGACCATATCAACAGTGCCAGAACAACGTAAAGCAAAAAACAAACGCAAATCCAGTGCACTGATATTTTATTTGTTAATTAAGTACAACATTTACGCCAATCTTCTGCATAATCTTGGCGTCAGACGCGCGAATCGCGGGCGCGCAACAGTGCTTCCGGTCGCGATAGGCGTCCGGCAAGGCGGCAACTTCCGCGGACCGCTTACGAATACTCTGGACGGAAGTGCGCTTTACTGCCTGGGGGGTCTTAAAGCGCTCCGTTGCCCAACGAGCAAGTTCGGAGTGAGAGCATGCTGGATCTGACTTGTGCTTCTCGCACAAAGACTGCTTTTGTGGGACATGTAGGAGGAAGGGCGATGTCCCATTGTCTTTGGCGGTAAAAATCAAAGTGTGTGTTTGTATGAAGACGTCCGATCCAAAATTTAAAATCAGATCGATGCGGCATGTCATCCCTCGGCGAGGAGGGGAAAACCGTTGAGGTTAATTGCCAGGGTGGTGATGGGCAAAGGTAATTGCGCATCCGATTCGCGTAATCATAAACTCTGGAAGGGTATCGACTGATACCGGTGTCGAATTGGAGGTGCAGGACTGTAGTTATATGACATAAGGTAGGTCATTTATGCAATTTATCAGTGAGCCGGCGCAGCATCATCTCTCCCATTCTTTAATTTTCTTGATCTCCTGTCAATATGATTGACCACGTCTGTTGGTGAACATATTTTACCAAGCTGTCGTATTTTATTTATCGAAATTATGAAAAAAAACTTAGAAATACCCATGCTATTTTATCAAACCCTTTTTGAAATCATGGTCTGTAGCATCCGCCAAGTCATTTTGCTGTATTAAAGATGGCTACAGTATTCACACGTCGCAGATGCCATTTTTTATTCCGCCTGATTCCTACTGGTCAAAAGTTTGATTAAAACCCGGCTTTTCTCAGCGGTACTCTAAGCGTGGAAGCTTGCGAGCACATAATATGTATTATATCTACTATATACATGTAGTACATCATCGCTGTCTCTGAGGGTGTCTAGGGGTACTCTAGATGCCTTATTATGCATTGCTTGAGCGGACAGTGAGCGGACAGTGAGCGGACGAGCAGACGATGAAAACCGGTTTTTCCCTCCCATTTTCCTTTCCCATTAAATGGAAAAGGACATTTTCGAGAAAGAGAAAATGAGCACATGCTGCGACGGGGATTCGTATTGTTTTTCCAGTGCAATATACGACGTGGTACGGCCAACATCAGCTGCAACAAGCATGACGACTTTGAAGACCGCTGATGATATTCGCGTCGCCATCGATGCGCTGGAGCTTGATGCGGTTGCGAGTTATTTCGACAACGATGACGACGAAATTGATCCGTACGTCGTTTGTGAGGGAGTCTCCGTTACTGCGTTCAATACGTATGTTGGAGACGGTGAAGGACTGCGGATTCGACTTCGATTTCTCGCCCTCAACGATGGGCGTATCGTGATAGTCGAACTTGTAACGGTAGTGCATGAGAGTACGGCGGCAGAATTCACGAGCAAATTCTTACGTGCGGCAGGAAATGAAGACGAGGTCGGAAAATGTGGCTCGATGACAGCGAGAAGAGCTGCCAACCCGAACAAGGAGGCTGATGCGACTTTTGGCCCAAAGAGAACTACGCTCAACCGAACACCGGCACCGGCACCTCGCACCGTTACCGATTGGGTGACACTGGCAGTGGAGGTTGGACGATCTCAAACTTGGGCAAGTCTGAAAGGTGCTGCCAGATGGTGGTGCGGTTATACTGGGATCCAGTATGTGCTGCTATTGAAAATCAGTGCCCCTGGTACTCATATTCGATATGCGCTCTATGACAGTACGACCCGACCACACCCAACCATCAGACCAACAGCGAGCGGAACATTTCGACATGCAGCTGCTGGAGCTGCTGTCAATGTCACCTTCGACATGCGCAGAATATTATCGATCCCCCCGAATGCAGCTCTTCCACCTGGCGTGAACCCAACAGCCCGTGTCGATCTGCGCATCGTCATGGATCTTGTCATCGATAGTCTTTAACAGAAAAAAGCACTGTCATGGATTCATGCGGCTCTGCTGAGTCTGAAACTGCTTTGTGAAACTACCATGAATTCATGATCTGATTAAACAAAAAATCATGAATTCTTTAGTTGCTGCCATGATTCATCAGTGAAACTACGCTGTGGAAAGCCGTTTTTTCTACCGGTATGGACCAAATTCTATTGTGACATTGCACAGTGACTCTAGATGCGAAAACTGCGTGAGTATTTTGTTTTAATACTCACAGATTTTTATCAAAAAAATCATACCATGAGAAGCTCTTGAATTTGTGGGTATGTGAGTAATAAAAAATGGCCTTTTTTAGCCACTCCAAATATTTACATTATTTCATTAGACCCCTATATGTATTTATGGTTTATCTATCCCAATACTCACATACTCACATGCTCACAAATATTTATTAATGATATAAAGTTACTATAGGAACTATCGACATGTTCTAATTAAAAACTTCGTGAGTATTTTGCTATGACTCACATTTTCATCTAAAACCTATCTCCTATTGATATTAGATGAACCAAACCTTGTCTCGGTCATTGTTTCGTGCGAGGCAAGATTTTTACGGACATACTCGACACATTTAACATGAATACAAGTCATATGATCCACTCGCTAATGTGACTTCATGGCGGGATCCCCGCACGAAGACATCATAAAAATATGATCCTTTATTGATACTTAGCGCGCAACTGCGCAAGCGATGCTATTTCAACGATGCACGCTTTGACTGGAGAAGTATTTTTGCTGATGCGATTATAGTCGTCCAACGTAATTCTTGACTCAGATACTTTTGACCCTGGTTTGGGAGCTGGTAGTAAGTAGTAGTTATCGTCAATTTGAATTGGCTGTGGATCTTGTTCGTCTATATTCTGGACATCCATTGCGTGTCTCTGTGTATATTACAACGAGACATGATGAACCTATAATATATCAATATTATTGATGCGATTGACCAAAAATTATCATAGTGATCTTTGAAGAGTTTGTAGAATTTATCTAATTGATCGTGTTGCAGATAGTATAATAGGAACACTATACTGCCCACAGTGTCCAAACCGAGAATTCTGTATTTCAACCTCACGATAAGAATAATCCTTTGGTATCACACGTGGCCTAGGTAAGCCGAGGGGATCGAAGTACGCCTTATCTTTGTTTGAGACTGCCATCCAATGACTGCACCCGATCTGAGGCGCTCCCATGCTCAGAATACAATGATCTTTGCTTCTGTCTAAATGCTGCTTGAAATCAATTTGATCCACTTTGACGCCAAGGGAATTGGCAAGTTTCATGAGTTGATTATCCGTCGTTCTAGACAATTTAAAAATTCTTTTTTCGCTCATGGTTCTGATCAGTATAATATAATCACCATTAATATAATCACATAAAACTATGTCGTCTGCATCTAATATTCTGCTTTTGAGCATTACGTCGAACCAGCTCCTGCTGAGACACTCTTCCGTGATAAGAAATGGACATATATTTAGGACTCAACGTCTAATACCGGTCAGTACGCCGGAGAAATCCAATTTAATCTCTCAACGATCTCTTTGCAAGTTGCATTTGTCAATTGGGAAGAAGCCGTTATCGAGCTTCCAGTAAAGCTTCGAATTTATAATGGTGGTGCTGGTTCGATCACTTCGACTGCTGCCTGTACTGTGGATCAACTGCTTCCTAAGGCCGGTGCGTGGCAGTTCATTGACAGTGTTCAGGTTGTTATTGATGGAACCACCGTACAAACGAATCAAGTTCATACAAAAATGTAAATACAACGTTCAAGGCTATCACTGAAACGGACTATAACACGTATGTGAAACATGGTCCAACGAGCAACTTCGTATTGGATGAATATGACACGACAATAATCCAAGGGTCTAGCGGAGCGGCACAATCGCTCGAGAACTTGGCCACTTCGTCGTTTATGACAGTTACTAATAGGATCGGTGAGTTTGGATCGACTAACACTTTCTCGAACCGAGGAGCCGCCGAACGATCGCTTTTCACCGCTCTTGATCAACAAAGCTCGAAGCTTGCATTCGATGTGATGGGAGGCAGTGCAATCTTTAAGCCGTATCGAAACCCCAAGTCTATGTGGCTCCTGCTGGTGCTGTTGCTGCTAGTTCGCCATTTTACGTCGCGCTCAATCTGGCTTGCATTAAATTGCTGGATATCTGTGACTATTTCAAGAAATGCCCAATGCAGAAGAACACGCGCGGTTTTATTTACCTCAATTACAATAGCTCATCTACTACTTTGGTTACGACTGGTAGTGCTGGCGCTGTCGCGCCTGCTTCTATTGCTAGTTTGAGCAACAACATGAATTTTGGCAGCACGTGCCCAGTGCTGTGGAATTTAAGTAGTGGTGCAACGACAACTGCTCTGGCTGGTAGTCTTGCGCTCCCTGCATCTGCTGTATCTCTTAAGATTACCGCCGACGTTAATGGTACTCCCACTGCTGAAACTGGTATCACTCCTTCGCAATCATTCTCTCATCTTCTTGTTACCACTTACTCTCCCAACCAAGCGCCGACCATGCGTTGGCTCATAAGAAAACTTTCCGCTACTTCGAACGAATTACGAAAAAATTCACAGTTGCTCCAGGAGCTACTTGGACGGTCAGTAATGGTATTGCTAACCCAAACCGCTTGATCATGCAACCTGTTATTACCAATCCAACCGCAGGTGCTACTGTATTGGACTTAATCAATCCTTTCCGTAGCCCATTTTCGACTGTACCTGCTACGACGAGTCCATTTGCTGCATTGAAAAATCTACAAGGTACCGAAGGAAACGTCCCTATTTGGAGCAATCCGATTAGTTTTGGATATTATCTGTTCGTGCAAGAGATGTCGAAGTCGGGTGTTGATGGTGGTCTCGATGGTGTAACGTCGGCTGGTTTGCTATCTCAGCGTCAATGGGAATCGCTTTACCGATTTGTTGCTGTTGATATTGGCCGCCGCCTTCCAAGTGAAAATGGTGCCAATAAGAGTATCATTGTGTCCGGTACCTCGAGCTGTAACTACGCCCTTACGATTTATTCCCATGTATTGCGTGAAGTCGTTGCAACCGTTGATACGGCTATAGGTACGGTCTCGCAAGGTCCTGTTCAAGGCCGATTTTGACAACTTCGTAATTTAATTGTATTTAACCACATTTGTTCTTAATCATCTTCAATATACGTGACCTCATCAAAATCAATTATGAGTGGCTTTTACTCCGATAACCAGACAAAGCAAAATGCATTTGATCGTTATTACAATGCAATGGCGAAGTCCGATTTCGTTCAAGGCAAGAAGCTAAAGGCTTTAATTCGAAAAGAGAATTTGGATGATGCAAGCACTGACTCACTTGCGCATTTGTTTCAGCAAGTGATGGGGAAGAAGCGTGAGTATGAGTATGATCAAATCACAAAAAAGCAATTGAAAGGTTCTAAATGTCCTCCTGAAATTATCAAAGGTGAAGCAAGTGTAACTCCCCAATCTAGTAAGAAGAAGCATACATACGTTTCGAAATCAACTGATGCAGACTTTAATATGGATGAGCCCACTGCACCTGAAGAATCATTCGAGGACTTTTTCAGTGGAGTAAATGATGTAGCGCAAAAGGTAGTCAATACTTGAGCAAACATTAAAGAAAAATAGTCATTAAAAGAAGTGGTGGATGACCACGCTTTGAAATATCTAAACAAGCAAAGATAGTTCCGAAGAAAGGATTCAAATCGGAGACGTCAAGAAATGGCAGCAAAGTTTACTGATGAAGCCATGAACGAATCCGTAAAGCTTCTAAAACGAAAATGAGCTGCAACTCCCCCAAATAAACCTCCCACAGACAAACGAGCGACAAAAAAAGCTGCTAAGCAAGCTGAGGAGGAACCTTCAATTACTGGATGTCAGTGAAAGCAGTGATGACGAAGAAATAAAAGAAGAGAAAAGATCACGCGGGTCGAATGCTGGCATAAAAAAGTTTATACTGACGATATCAACAGCTACAAAAGTCAATTTGCAGCAAAATTAAACGAAAGTATTCGACATAGATTTGGCGAGGCTGTCGATCAACGCAAAGGCAAAGCCTATTTTGAAGCCAATGCTCCTGAACCACCAAGAAAGCATCAAATGAAGCGAGATGCTATGAATCAGTACAAAGCTGAAATGAAAGGCTGGCTCGATAAAACCTTTATCAAAACGGAACGTTGTTCAAGTATTTTTTTAAACTCATTAACGATTTTAATAGAAGTTTGATGGCAGCAGCATTTAATGCATTAAGTTGAGAGAAATTGAGTGTATATTGATATCCTTCCAAATCATTATCTCCTTCTGCCTTCATATTTTCGTTTGGCATGATACTGACCATTTCTCCACACACTTTCATTGCATCCTGTGCAATCAGTCCAAGTTTTGCGTCGCTCTCTCCTTTCCAGTTGTAGCTGACGGGCTCCAACTTATCGTAATGTTCCAAGCTTATTGAAATAGGTGTTATATTCTCCTTGAGTCGTCTATCAGAGCTTGTGTATATGGACTGCACACAGAAAATTGAAGACGAGAATATGGCAGGGACCGTAACACTTACCGGGTCTAATCCAAGATTGTTCCAGATATTTCCTTGTACGTTGTATTGGTAACAATTTGATGTTCCGCCAACACCAACTGTGTATGAGTTTGATCCTGATACGTGCAATGTTGCTGAGGGAGACCCAGTCCCGATACCAACTCTACCTGCGGAAGATATTGTAACTCTTCGTGTATTTGCAGTCATCATAACCAAATCGTTGTTCGTAGTAGTTCCAAAATATGCACTACCGGTATTAGTGGAGTTTGCATTCGTTGCATTGCTTAGTTGTATTCCAGACCCAATAGGCGATCTATTAGTCAATTCCATGAAGATCGGCATATCATAATTAGCAGAACCATCGTTGAGTGCATTAGATGCTTTAATATATATTACCAGAGTTTAGCGTGAGAGGAGCAGTCCCAAACGAACTGGAGCATGGCGTATTGGTGTTAAACAACAGTTTATTAACAGTGTCTGAAACAAGGTATAAACAAGCTCCTGTAGGAGCTGGCGAAGAGCCAGCAATAATTAATAGCAAAAGCATCAGCACTTGTTGCTAATGTATAAGTATGAGGATAACCAGTTTTACACGGCTGAGTATTGCCAATCTTAAAACAAAATTAGTGCGTTTGAGACGTAAATCCCCACAGTTGGTTTATCGTTCCAATTTATAGTAAGTAAATCAGCGCTTGTAGCAGAAACACCTCCAACGAATGCGCTCGGACTATCCGTTGATATTAAATTCAACAACGGATACGTTTTGGTGTTTGAGGCGGATGTAGTTCTTGAAGCGATGACCAATCCATTTGTATCAGATACTCGATAAATGTTCATAGTTTCACGACTCACAATTCCACCGTAAAAACGCAGATTATTTGTGCTTGATGTGCCTAAAGGCATCAACCCGACACCTGAACTATCGAGTGTCATTGATTTTGATGCTTGAAGTGTACCCAGAGTTGTTAAATCATTGCAATTTAGGAACGGCGTTACTGCAACTCGTCAACGACAAGACAACAGCTCTTATAGCAACGCAACAGACCACATCGACACAAGGAGAGCCACAGAGAGCAACATTTGATAAATAAAATACGCTCGTGGCGTTATTTAAAAGAGAAAAATGACGGGAACCGTAAAAGTTTCTGGCCCCCTATTGTGAATTTCTTAGTAGATCGCAGTCGGCCGTTTTAAAGGAGACAAGTATGAGCGAAGACGACATCAGCCACACCAACCTTCTTAAGAGCGCTATTGCTAGTCACCCAGCGCCTTCGGGGTATCTAGAGCTAGCTGCAGATCGCCGTGGTGAAGCAGAGACTCTTCAAACTCACCAGGCCAAGCTTTGCCAAAAGCTGCTTCAGTCCCGGCTTCAGCAGATTGAACTAATGGAAGGGAAGCTTGAAAAACTGGCCAAGTACACGGCGAAGCTGTTAAATGCGCACGATGAGCTAGCTACATTGATCTCACTCGAAAAGGAGGAAACTACCCGCATTGCAGCCGTGACGGGGGTTCCTATTCGCAGCTCAAAGTACGTCATGTCTTACTCCGTTGTGCTGGAGGAGTGTTGCAGCTCAATGTTAGGCCACACGCAGCATTGAGAATTTGAGGACCAGAAGGGGGTTATTGAGTAAGAAGTTTACAATTAATTGGCTTCCGAAACACAACATGCTACGTCTTAATTGTCGCCAGTAATTCCAGATCTGTGTCTTGGACCGCCTTCGCTACCTTGTTTTTTCTCGTGGTTACCTCGGGTTGCCTTAAGATCATCCACATAATGCGAAGACGCATAATAGTGACGTCGTCATGGCTTACAGCACATCGGGTAAATTGCGAGCTATTTTTAAGCATCGTATACACTTGGGCGAGTACTAGCACACCGCAAAAACCGTCGGGCTGCTTCGGTCCGGAAAGCCACACGGTCTCCTCAACGATTGGATATGGCTCTCCAAGCATGGTGGAATCGTGCCAGACTCTTAAGAACTCGGCCACTACTGCCTCGTAGGTGTGATCAAGAGTGTCGTTGTATGACGTAGAGCACAATGGTTCGTAGAAATACGGTGTGACTGTCGCCATCTCCGTCCGGTATGAAATACTGACAATAATCACACCCCAGCGTATGTCGCTCAAATGGATAGGCAACACAACGTACTTGCAGCTATCAATAGGGATTTCTGGTGGCCATGGACAGCCCAATGAAGGTGCGAATGAGTCCAAAGCATAGCAGCTACCAATCGATTCACAAATGCATCGAATTCCAAAGTCGATAATCGTATCACTCAGCATACGATCTCGGGCAATCATGCCAACCATTTTCTCCACCATGACGGTTCCCTCGCCACAATCAAGCCGAAAGATTGAGCTTGGACAAGCGCTTTCCAGCACACGCACGATGTCGTCCGCCAGTTGTTGACGTCTCACTGGAACAACGTCAGGCATTAGAGCAGCAGTTCCGGTCTCCTCGTCGAATATCTCCGGGTGTGCGAGGAATTTTTTCCACTTTGTCGATAACAGCCACTTCACATCTGCCATCCATGAATTGAACTTCTTGACAAGACTGGAGTACTCAACCATTCTGAAGACCCCACCACTAGTAACAACACAGAAAGCAACACACCCCGTGAGCAACACATCAAGCAACACAGAGCTCCAGCAGCACATGAAGCAGCACATGAAAAGCACAAACCTAGTAAAGCGCGGGGTACCACCAGGAAAGAAAGCTAAGACTTCGTTCGTGGACCCCTCCGGATGTTCGCCATCTTGATGCTCATTAAAGTACTTTGATCCTTGACGTTTCTTCTTTTCGACAGCAACCACAGCGCTCAATTTAATGACAAGGTTCTGAGGAATCACGAAATTGTAGTCATAGTCAGCCGTACAAACTAATTCACGACAGCTGCGAGGAGTTCGGGCGCTCATGAAATCGTCATCCATGATCACAGGGTAGTTTCCGAGTATCTCGCTCACGTGATACGGGTCAGTCGTGTGGTTCGCCCATTCCAATAGTCGCGAAAGTGACGGTACGTTTTTGTCCGGAAGCGCAATAGCAGCCAGTTTCTGGGACTTTCGTGCTTTACTAATTTGCGCTGTGTCAGCTTCTTCGTCTTATTGTGTCGAGGCTTGGGGTGAGGGATAAGAAGAGCTTCGAGTCCGCAGTTAGCGGTGGCTTTCGCTTCACTGCACTTCCTGGGTGCATGTGCAGCCGCTTTAGTTGGCTCATTGTGAGCTTCGAGACGCGTATCGGTTTGGTGGTCGGCCGACGGTAACGCTACTTGCGCCCACGCCATCGGGGGGCCTGAGTTGCAGCATGCGTACACCAAACTCGTTTGAAGCTGTGGGTCAAATAATCAGGTATCTTCTTAGCACCAGGAAGCCTAAGCAACACTCAAAGCAACATAGCAGCAAACGACATAGTGAGACAGCAACATAAACGTCAATATCGGTATCGTGCCCTCACCTGTTGTGCTTCTCTCTTGTCTCAGAGCTCCGAGTTCGATAGCAAAGGAAGTGTTCAGCTTCGTAACCTTTGAGCACTTTCTGATACTCCTCCCACGTGCTGAAGACCTTTTGCGGTAGCCCTGGCTTGTCGTTGATGATTGGGTTTAGCGTTTTCACAATCTTCTTGCGGTTATCCGCGTTTTTGGTTTGGCGACGCCAGAGATGATGTGGTCGACTAGCCGACCCTTCAGTGGATACTCGTACCCGATTTGTTGGAGGCTCAGGATCTGGGTCATCTGCAGTCGATAATCCTCAATTAGAAAGTGTAAATAAAATTGTAGACGACTCGTACCTGAATCTGATACTTTGTTTTTCGTATCGTTGGAGTCCGCTAGGGTGGCTGCGGCGGCGTTATCCTTAACGTTGCCCTCAACGTTGCTCTCCATGTTGCTCTTAGTGTTGCCCTCAATGTTGCTCACCATGTCGCCCTCAGTGTTGCCATCCATGTTGCCCTCCATGTTGCTCTCAGCGATAGCGACCGGCGAGTCAGCTGCCACCTTAGCAGTAGCGTTCTGGGAGTGTTTCACCTCTTTTTCATGTGTGGTAGCCTCAGCCGTGGTATCTTGTGTGGCGGGAACATCCTCGTCCTGCGTGGCGCTCTTCGGGGCGTTCTTCGGGGCGGAAACATCCTCGTCCTGCGTGGCGTCCTGCATGGCGTTCTTCAGGGCGGGAACATCCTCGTCCTGCGTGGCGGTTTTCGTGGCGTCCTGCGTGGCGGGGACATCCTCTTCCTGCGTGGCGTTCTTCGGGGCGTCCTGCGTGGCAAGGACATCCTCTTCCTGCGTGGCGTCCTGCGTGGCGCTCTTTGTGGCGTTCTTCGGAGCGGGGGCATCCTTCGTGTGGCCGCGTGTAAGACCAACGTAATCACGCGGGCGCAAGGTGGAGTGACGTCCTACACACATCAAATCAGTTTGTATCCATCACAGCGTACCTTATAAGCGTCATACCTGTGTTTGCGACCAACTGGACGTACGCCACACCCTCTTGTTTCGCAGCCCCCGTACTGGGCGCGCGCATCTTCTCTTCCTATTTCGCCATATCACCGTTGTAGGTTTCTCCCGTTCCTGGCAATGTCGTACTTTGTCGACCACAAGATTTTGCAAATTTTTAGTCTAATTGTTTGGTTTTAAATTCACGGGAAGATAAACTCGATAAATTACCGAACAACACAGCAAGCTGCTGCGTTGCTCTAAACCACCTATCGTGTAATTGTGGTAAAGTTGTAGTAACGACTCCGCAATTTAGTTGATTAGCAACAGCTGCATAGTGAGTCCATAATGTTCAATGTAGAATAGCTAATATTCAATATCGAGCTTTTAGCTCCATTATCTCCAGTTATTGTATTACAAGAAATAGAAAGTGAAGCAACTGATGCTGAAGCAATAAACGTTCTTGTAATAGATAAATCACGAAGACCAGAATAATCAAATGTTTAATTCAATACAACAGCATTTGACGCCACGGCTCCACCAAGAGTAATCACAGTGTAGTAAGTATCGGGAATGTAGTTCCTCTAAACGTTAAATTCGGCACATTTAGACCCGTTCCAGTTAAACCTAGATCTAGTTGTAGTCCAGAAACTGTATCAGCCATAGCGACATTACCACTTGATGGGATAGTCATTCTGGCCGTGTTTTGGTTGCAATTACAGTATTATGATTAGACTGTGTGGCGTGAGCCACTTGCTCAGACTTAAGCAAAATGCAGAATGAATTCAAACGGCCAGGCCTTTTAGCTCCTAATGCTCTCCCCTACCTGGACCTCCTTGACAGATAAAGAAACGCAAGGCCATAATCACATGCAGTGTCGTGGCAGCTCTGGGAGGCTGCAAATGGTGCCGTAATCACATGCAGTGTCGTGGCAGCTCTGGGAGGCTGCAAATGGTCTCGTCATCAGGCACTGCTTTACGCAACTATGTTCTTCGGCTTGATTGGTGACATCTGAAGAGCAGGCCGTTGATGATTGTAGATATCGCTGATTTCTGCCACTGGATTGGGTACAGCCCTTACATCCCCCACCGCTTAATCGCGTGGTCCGCCTCGAGTTGAAGTGCGACGCCGGAATTCCGCCAACAGCTTCTGCCAATGCTGATGTTTGACTGAAACTCCCAAGAGTTCTCTCTGCTTGGGAGATCGGCCCACTGGACGAGGTACTGAGCGCGGCGGCGGTGTCGACGTCTCTGGAGCAAGGCAGATACCACATAAATTTGCTCGCCTTGCTCGTCGAAAAGCATTGGTGCCGCGCGACGATTTGGTCTCCCCATGAACTCCGGAGGGCAACCGAAGGATTGCTTGAGCTGATCCACATTGAACGTGCGTTGAGACCGCAATATCGCCGGCAGAATCAACTTGTAGGTCAACGGTCCTAGCACGCGTTCGACTGGGAACGGTAACAACCACTTGGGGAGCAGTTTGTTCACTGTTGGATCGCGCTCAGGA